AGATAAACAAGAGGAGGAAGCCCGAAGACATGGGAAGAAACGAAAGAATAGGAAGAGGAGGCCCGAAGAGAGAAAGAAAGGCAAGGAGAAAAGGCCCAGAGACAAGAAGAACAGGACCAGCTTGCAGCACGTCCACAACAACAAGAAGATCGTAGATGAAAAGAAAAACAAGAACAAGTATAGCTTATAACATTTTTACAACAAGAAAAAGATCAGAAATCCAAAGAAGGAAGAAGAAAAACAAGGCCGGCCTCCGGGAATATTCCAGCGACAATGAAACCTTTGAGGAACAAATGACACTACCAGACCCGACAGAAATGGATGAGCAAAATAAAAAAATGCAATGGAGGAACTACCTGAAGAAGTTGGGAGTGTTAGTCAGGAAGTTGGAACTTTCCGCCGAAAAATGTTTAGGACTAAACTGGAAAGTTGGAATGTGACTTGAGATCAGGAAATGTCTGAGCTTCGCCTGCAATCGGTATTAAAGTTAAGCCGCACCATACGACGGCTAACATCGTTGGGGATGAAAGAAAAGCAGCCGATTCGAGACTGGAGACTGGCATGTCTAAATGCTTGATTGTATCAGTGCGTGGTCCTGCCATAGACTTACTAGAGATACTCTGCTGCCAGCGTCCCAACAGAACTATGGTGCACTCGTTAATGCACTAGAGCGTCGTTATGGGGATATACACCGATGGTAGCTTCACCAGGTATAGTGTACAAGACAACAGAACCTGTGGAAAGTTTTCAAGAACTTGAATTATCCGCCGTCTGGTTGGTTTTTTTTAGTTTGTCCTTCCGGAAGTATATCAGAGATGCGAGAACAACTAGCGGCCGAAAATTTCATCAATGGCATTAGAGATAGGGATGTACAGAGAAGAGAATTCTGAACATAACCGAACCATCAAGTAACAGCGCAGCTCTAATCAAAGTCCTAAGAATCGAAGCGGCCTATAAAATATCCAAACCAAATATCAGAGAAGAAAAAGAACCAACAGAAGAAATTATTCAAGCTTCAATAAGGGAACTTCAGGAAATCAAGAGGTTGTTATCAGAATCAAACAGGGGAATTTTAAAGCAGGCACCGAATGTGACGTGGCTGCAGAGTACGGCTGAGATCTCGCTCTCCTTCTGATGACTCTCAACCTTTGATGGAGCAGTTGCAGCAGTACGATTTTCAAATCAAACATCGTTCTGGTAAACTTCATAACAAAGCAAAGAAAACCTTATCCAGCTGCTCAGTTTACGCCCAGCTCTGGCTCAGAATGTATCAGCGTGAAAGGTTTTCTATTAAAAGCCTCGAAATTTCAAACGGAATTCCGAAAAGCTTTCAAGTGATGAATTAGAAGATGTTGTTATCAAACCATTTTTAAACTAGAGGAAATCGCGGCAATTGATCGCCTGCAAACTGAAGGAAAGAAAAATCCGGCGAGAAAGAAAAACCAGTAACAAGAAGATCGATGGGATTCGAGTGCTGATCCAAATTAGCCTATGCCCTATTGCCTTCCAGACGCTCTAGAGATTATACTAGAGCGAGAGACACTACGAAAGCTATGACTGACTGCGCATGGCAGTCTACAGAGGAGAGGTGGCCACTCTTCTAGTTCCCGTAACGTTAGCCCGGTATTCATAGACGAGTGCTTGGCTCAAGCTCCGATTTTTGACAGTTGTGAGCATCGTTCCGTGCTGTTTTAAAACGTAAATATGGTGTCAAGTCGTACTTGAGCCTTGAGCCAAGACGCAACCTTAAGCATCGACTATGAATACGGGCCTTAGTCCATGGTAAGAAGAGCCATGCAAGGGTTCGGGTAGCCTAGCTGGATAAGAATCTAAGATGGAATGCATTTAATAGGCCTAAAGACGTCAAGCATTTGGATAGATAGGATGATGATGATTTGGAGTATAACGAAGAACACAGATATAGAAGAAGAAGAGAAAGTGGTGCATCTTGACAGGGTGAAGGCTAATCTGATTTGTTCACTGTTCATGACTCGGGCGCGATTATTCAGGAGTTATGCATTGTGAGATTTAAGTGAACAAACAATCACGCGATTCTAGAGATGTCTCGACTGGAATGTTTTTGTATCTTAAGCAAGTAGTTTATAGATCGTTTCGAAATTCTGGAGTAATTGACGAACATGAATAATAAAGCTTCCCTACTTTTGAAATCAGTTAACCATATATTTTATTTTATGTTCCCTGTTCTCAGATCATACGATATTGTATATACCTATATCGGAAATTATTTTCGGAAATTCTTTTTCATAGGTACCTACATCCAAATTTTATTCTAAAAATGATTGAATAACATCTTCAATACAGGTAATTTCACGCGTTCACTGATACAACCATAGTAATCCAGCGAACTAAACCAATTAGTAGATTACGATATTTAATATTTGGCAATTGCGGCTTTGATTTTTCAAGATCCTTGGTAAGAAAAGAAAGTCACTACCCACGATACCGGATACAAACAATTATTGTCGTTCATCTCTTTAATTTTGTAATTACGCGCCGTTCCAGTTTTTAGGACATCGCTTCCTTTTCCTTTTTTTTTTTTCTTTTTCAGAAGCAATCAATTTTGATCTCGACCGGTCTCAGGGGAAATGTTGATTTGAAACTTAACTCCGAAGAGATTCATCTTGGAAATTACCAAAGGAAGTAGCATATTATTATATTATATTTGACATCCGCAGTTGCCAATAAGGTTTTTATTTTACTTAGGTACCTATGATGGCGATTTATCATTTAAGTTGGCATTCAAATTAGAAGATAGAGAAGGTAATTAAATCAATATTTATAATAACCGATTACGCAGAAATTACGAGCATGCAAAGTTATCAGTGGCCTGTACTCACCTTTGAATAATTTTGTTCAATGATAGCTAAGATTTTGGAGGACGCTCAAAGATGAAGTTCCCGAATTTGTTTTACGTGAAGTAAGTGAACTGTTTTTGTCTTATCAAAATCGTGATTATAGTTTGTGTCTTTCTTACCCAAGTAGAAAGGCAACTAAAATTGAACGCAAGGTAAAATATTGTAACAAAAAAAAAAGATTGATCGATTTGGAATAGCCACCATGAATATAAATAAATATTGAGTACCTAGCCATTTTAAAAGCACGCGTTTGGTTCAAACAAATTAGCAAATATTTTTATGATGAAATATCCAAATGAACAAGAAGCACGGTCGTTCAGTAACATCATTGTTAACATGTTACAAAAACTGCCAAACGGAGCGCTCCCTTGTTGAGAAGAAAAAAGAGTGCATACTTAGTAGGTATAAATAGGAAAATCTCAGATATAGGTATTTGATATATTTTGGCTAGTAGGACAGGAAAATCAGGTAGGTAAGAAATAATAAGCTATGATGAGCAACTATCCTAATGCACCTATGTGGACCTGATTTTATATATATTAGACTCACATATTATATGATAATTTATTGTGGCTTATAGGACTGTGAGTCTGTAAAACGGTTCGCCCAGGATGATGTGTGGAAAAATTCTTACATATAGGTAACGGATCCGTTTAAAGCTATTGGAAAATTGTTTAAAAATGAGAAAATGCCTATAAATGGCTAAAAAAGAACTTGACAGTTGACATTGAAGCTATGTAGAAGTTTATTCTGTATTAGGCTGCTTTCCTGAAAATTAAACAAGAAGATTGAAGTGATAACAAATGTGAGTTCATTTTTACAATGAGGGGAACAAAAAGTCTTATCTCATAATTCCATTGCCATTGGAATTGTGAGATAAGACTTTTTGTTCTCCTCATTGTAAAATTAACAAGAGTTTAAAACAATGAACAGACCAAAACGTTATAATAATCAAAACTTGATTATATACAAAGGCAGAGAAACGCAATTAAACTTGAGTGATAAGTGAACGAACAAAGAAATAAATTCGTAGGTATTCGCTCGTTCGTTTATTAAGTGCTTTATTTTAATTGAAATTGAACGAATATTTGCGTTCGTAGACAATGACAAGCACCAAACTACCTATGCTAAAAACGTTGTAATAGAACTGAAAAAATAAGAAAAATTGAAGATTGGCAGAAACATTTTATATTCGTATGAAGACTTGAGGAAGGATAAAATGGCCAGAAACCTTAAAAGTTTCAAAAATACAAATTATTTAAAAAATCCCAACTATAGAAGATTTTAAAAAAAGTCGAAACCCGTGAAAATTTGCATGCTCAAAACCTATTGAAAAAGAAAGCTGGAATATGCCATAGCTTACTGAATTCATTTTTGTAGCTAATACAATATACAACGTTAAATTGCTTCAAACACGAAAACATTTTTTATAAAATTGAAAAAAATATAACGGCTTTCAAAAAAACTAATTTGGATTTGAATGATTAAAAGCAAAAGTACCTACTGCTTGTTTTGATTTCAAACATGAGACTTCCTTCCATTTCTGATGTTTCTTTCTGCGCCGTAGTTAACTCTTAACAAAATGCAAATGCAGCGAAACTATAACCCAGAGCAATGCATTTCACTCTTTTTTTGTATTTTGTTTGAAAAATCTAGTGCCTAGTTATACCCTAGAAAGAAGTTGATTGGAGAAAAACAACTTTCATATACATCGAATCCAACTCACTTTCCTCACAGACAGATAATATACATATAAATAAGTAAGTGAAACCTTTCGCGTTTATTCAAAAGACATATCAATAAAAAATTACTCAGGAGGTCTCGAGTTTCTTATGTTTAACCTTGGCGACAGAAAGTTTTCTTGTGCGGTTTCGTTTTACTCTCGGAGATATCGATGCGGTTTCAACAAATTCCTATAATTTTCGGCAAATTGCATACAACTGTCGCCAAACAGATTTCAGTAACAGCTGATGCATAACGGGAACTACGAATTCATCACCACAATAAATACAATGGGGCAATAAAGATAAAATGCTTCCTTGTGAATAGAAATCACTCGCGATACGAAGATACTTAACTATTCTTGGGTACTACTTGATGGGAATAAAAATTGATTTTACTTACATTATATTAATTCACTTCATAATCCGTTTTTTCTTATTTGATCTTAGCCTTGGGTACTACTTCCTAGCGAGCGCAAGGGCATTCAACTTAAAACTCATTGGTAGTTCACTGCACACGGAATACTGAACAGAAGAGTTGCGGCCTGAGCGGAGCGGTACGACCAGAAATGACTAACCATTTCTTGCATTGTTTGACGGCTATTCCACATCCCACTGCTCCGCGTTTGCCGCGATTCGCCCCTCTTTCATGGTAGATGGTAGTACTCATGCTCGATAACACCAAACGCGTCGTCGTTTGGTAAACTAACGAGCTATAGGAGGGTTTTTCTTGTAATTATGATAAAAGCTAGTGATCAGTGACAAAAAAACTGAGAAATGAGCCAAATAGCTGCAAATTACCAAACTGTCAGAAGCAAAAAAAAAACAAAGATGGATGTATAATTAAGTAAAATATTGCCATTTTTATTCAAGAGGAATAAATACTATCGCATATGAATAAAGCGATAAAGAATCAGAATATGTATACACTCATGTCGTCTTGCTCCTGAATCAGAAGAAATCTTGTAAAACAAGAGAATACTCAGAAACAACAACAAGCCTTAGGTATCTTACACAAATTGAATTGCAAGAGTGCAAGACTCTCCTAATGAACCCGGTAGAAAAGAGCATTTTAGACAAAACAGCGCGTGTGTAACAACATAGCGACGTTTTTTTTACGTTTGTACAAAAGTGTACTTTAGGTCATGTTCCTAGAACTTTTCAGGATTGAAAGAAACCTTGAACATCAAGCGCTAGGTCTCAGATAACCCCCTTGGCTAATTTTTTTGTCTCTGACAACTCTGAGGGCTAGAATTTGCTGTGCAATACCCTTCTGATGGCTTCGGTACAAAAGAGCGACACTCCTGACATAGAAGTTACAAACATTCCAAAAAGCCGTTTGTGTTGAAACCAGAGATCGCAAAAGGCAATACAATATTACCTATATTTTCAAGTATGGTAGTTTGTAATCTATACAAAAATACAAGCTAACAATCGAATTTACCCTTTGGTTGCGTCATAGCAGTTTAGTAAAACTTTTTATTTTATGTACTTAGCATGAAATTTTATATCGATAAAATACGACCCTCTAATTAAGGTGTCCCGTGCTTTGCATCCCATTCTCTTATTTACAATGGGGCAGTTTTAGGTCTCATTTAGATGGTTTTCGCATTTGAGACAGATCAGAACATATTTGTTAAAAAAAGATTGGGAGCGCAAAAAGGTGATACACGATAACCAAAGGCGCATTAAATTTGTTAATATGTAATTCGAGCACGAAATAAAAGCACACCATGCATACCGTGGCGCGGTGGCCTGACCCAAGACCCAACCGCGATTTTTTCCCATGAAGGGTACACGCTGATGCATTCACAAATTTATCATAATCATACATCGTATGTACCTATTTGACTAGAAGCTACGCTAATGGCCAAAATTTAAAATTTAAAAAAGCGCAGTTCGAACTTATAATTATTGAAGCGAAGCCGGTACTTACCGGAGCTTGCGTGCCTTGGAAATTAGGTTCTACCTGGTAGAATGGCCCCAAGCCATGCACGGGATAAGGATTCTAATTTCTTTTAAATCGTTCTGCTCTTGGAAGTCAGGGATTTTTCGTCCGGTTGAGTTATTATTCATGATGCCATACTTTACAGTGTCGTCGCTCGGAAATTTGTCTGTATCTGTATCACCTACAAAAAAAAATAAGACAAAAAATAATTTCTGATGGTAATTTTACTTTTACGATGGGTCGTCATCATCATGAGGCATTATTTCGCTAGCAAGTATCATAAGAGATTTTGCATCATTCTCTATGGGTTCTTTAACGGCTAAATAAGCCTATTCTGGACTCACAAATTCTCCCACATTAGTTGCACAGGTTGGTGTAAACCAAACCACACCATCAGTATTCTTTGAAATACTGCGAGCCTGGATGGATATTTCTTCACCATACGGTTCTACCCAGGCGCAGAATCACCCAGTCATCACTATCGATCTTACAATTTTTCGAGTTTGTCTTCAGGACATCTTTGTATCCTCTACGCAGATCAAGCTAGGATAACCTTGGCTCATTTTTTTTTTTCTTTAAGGGCTAGAATTTGCTGTGCTATGCTCTTTTGATGGCTCCGGTACAAAAGAACGATATACTCCTCCTGACATAAAAAATATAACATCCCAAAAAGTGGGTGGTAGAAATACATATATTTTCTGTTGGCCATTCTTCAATTGGGAATACCTACATAATTTGCTTAGGAAGATTCTAGCATGCGAACAACATGATCGGCTCAGAGATGCTGATAATGGATGAGCTTTGCCTGAATGTTTAATTAGTTTCCTCAAGGATAATCGATACTCTTGTTCGTTCGGCGATCCTGTTAAATGATTTTACGTATTTTTCTCAGTCAGCAGCGCTGGTCGTGTTTTCCCAAGCACCACAGCATCCTCGACTCGGGGAATTGTGCTCCTTGATAAAGCTGCGAAAATGAGAAAGACGCAAAGACAAAATATGTGCTCTATAATCGAGGAGCGCTACTCCTCGATGCGAATATTAGGGCTCAGATCTGTAAGTAATCCTTATTCACCTCCGTAAAGAAATGCTGACATGACAATGGCATTGTAGTTCTAGCACAGTTCTAGATCTTAGTTTGAGTATGTCATGACAGTTAAATCAAGAGACGCCCAAATGGTAGGCTGCATATAGCTAGGAAGCTGTCACATCCTCAGGGATGCCATATTTTTTGTGTGTTGCTGATTTGTTTCAGTACTAAGCTTACTTAACAGAACACAGAATTGAATTGAGCCGTTTAGTTCATATTATCTTACACAGAGAACCGTTTTCCAAACATTCTAAACTGTTCAAAATTGTTTTAAAACCAGACGAAATATCTTTTTTTTTTTCGGAACAACAAATTAATAATTCTTATCTAATCTAATTAAATTAAAAGAATTATTATATTTTCTTCATACTTATTAATAAGAATTTACTTTTGTAGGAAAAAACTAAAACGCGACAAATAAGTCAATATTGGATCAAAATCAACCATAATTCGTTTCTATTTATTATATGACATTCATAATCAGAAGCCGTATCCGGCAGCTCCTTTTACCATTGACATATACGATTATGGGCATAATGCTGATGCTAATTTTCAAGCCGGTCCTGATGTATATATAAGAGGACATGTTACACAGGATGTAACGAAAAAAGTTCTTGAATTAATTTTCATACATTATTACTAGTTTAATTTAAAAAGGTGGGAGGAGGCACTAACAAAATAAACTTTGATATAAATACGCTAATAAAAGACGATGTTTTATGGTTGAATCCGAGCCGAGGCGACGATCGCCTTAATTGGAGGTTGGTACTTAACAGATGAAAAATACGAAAAAATGTTAAAAGGAAGTCAGTAAATAAGCCGATCTGGTTTGGTTAAGGTTGTTAAAGTTTCCTCAACGTATCAGATTAGTAAACTGTAACAACTGTTTTCTTTATAGTATATATACATGTATAATGAAAAGTATTGAAAGGTGCATTATTTTCGCGAATAAAAATGTTTGCTTCTAATCTAACTCAGTTGCTAGAAATAAGGCCACAAATCGGAATGTGAATTATGAAATTATGAATACCTAATGAATGGAAAAATTATTCGAAAATAATTTTTTTAGGGTAGGAGTGTGAATAAATTTTATTGAAAAAATAAGAAGTAGAGTCAATAGTCTTCACTGCCCCAATCTTCTTAATGTTATTTTTGCAGTTTCCTGCAATTATCTATGAAACTTTGAAAAGGATATTGAAAATTACTGGTTGAGCCTATCTACAATCTATATACAGTTTGTCGTAACGCTTCGCCGTGCTTTTTCATTAAATAATTCCTATTTCTAGTACTCATGAAGATCTACAATTATTGTATGAAGTTCTTCAGATTTAACCATTTGGAAATTTCACATTTTAAATTTTCATATAGGTACTTTTATACCCCATCGTTTTTACATAATTTGATCCTTGTACTTTCAATTATGGGTTTGATGATTTAAGTTTTAGTACGCCTACCTACCTGATGTGAAAAATAAAATATGAATATTATCAGTTCAAAAAGAGATTAGTGTACGAATTTGTTGTAGATCAGAAATCAATCTGTGACAATTAAAGCTAATCGGGTGCTATAAAGTTGTCCATTAACAATATTTCGTGTTTTTAAAACGCCTACAGCAGTGAGCGGAGCAGGGTAGAGACATCTCACGATGTAATTTGGCTAAAAATTACTTCTACGAACACGGTTAAGTTTATTTGCTGCATGTATCTTTCACCCAACAACTACATTTATGTACTTCTATTTGAAAATCTGGAAAATTCATTCGATTTTATCCAGGAGACCCATCCGAAGGATTGCCGAAGCATTTGCCATTTCACACGGCCTGACACAGTTGGTAGAAAAGCCAAAATCCTTTCTCAACAGGCCAATTTACTCGATTTGTTTCTAGCCAGTTATCCCGATCTCAAGTTGATTTCTGCTCGAAGTTCATTTGGTATACCCTCGGCCCCTGCGCCAATACGTCGTGGGGTGTGGCATTATGGACCTGCAGACTCAGAAGGCCTAAAGTTTTCCTCGACCTTTCCGTGGTCCGATAGTCCGATGTTTGCTTTAAAATAATCCAAAGAGGTTACCGAAATAATTTCCTTAGGTATGGAATGGTACATTCCACACTCCACTAAAACATCCCGTTCCAGAAAACCCTGGTGTATAGTATTTTTAATCCGAATTGAAACACTAAAAAAACATCTAAGCTGTTTTCTCGCGTTCACTTTTTTGACATGGGTTCAAAACAGGTTTGAAAAGGGCAATGGCTTCCATTGACTGTTTCCAACCGGTTTTGAACCCATGTCAAAAAAAAGGAAGCGAGAAAACGCCTTAGATGCTTTATTAGTGTTTCAATTCGGATTAAAAATACACTAACAACCAGTGTGTCCGAGCGGTTGCAAAAAAGTACATCGCATGTCCGGGCCTGGTGTAGAAACCAATGCGAACACACGATGGTCCTTTACGGCTGCCAGAAATGATTGCAACCGTATAACCAATGAGGCTAAGTAGTTACACTACCAACAAGTGCATAATCGAGCTTTGAACTACCCCAGTGGATCAAGATCCTTTTGTTCCT